ATACTATCATCCACACAGTCACTTTACACACCCCTGTCCCGTCTGAGGACATGGTGGATTTGGAGCTCTCCTCACTCCGGGCCCCTAGCACTGGCCCCTGTCCTATTTGTCTCAGAAGATAGCCACAGTCTGCACACTCACTGCGGTCTCCAGGGAGCTCTAATCAAAAGCATAGACACGTTTTAGGCCCATTCTCCGCCCCCCTCCTCTGCTCCATTAGCCTGAGGTCCATATGCTGTGTATCAGGCTCTGAGCTCAGCCCGCCTGGTCTTATGCCACAGTTCACACTTCATTACTGCAGCTCATTGATGTGAACCAGGCTCTACAAGTGAACAAGGTGAATATCTTTCTTATACTTTGGTCTTAAATATGGGATAACGAACTTATCATTTTATTTGACCCTAAGCAATAAAAAAGTGTCTGTCTTGGTGTTGATACATTTTATGGACTTTTTGTTTTTTTACAGTAATAATCATGACCAAAATCATTGCAATGTGATCTACGCAAGCTCCAGATTTGCATATTTTTTTAACAGTTGCCTTATGGTGGTGGCACGTCACCTGCATGGAAATAGAAACTTAAAACATACTTCAGAACATTATCCATGGAGATAAATACATTTTATTATGCCATACTGTGGAAGACTATAGGGACAACCTTTCCATGGAAACAAACAAGTGAAGCCCTCCTAGAGGCCAAATAAGAGTCAGGTTTGTGGAGATGCAAGCCTGCTCACTTTTTCAGTGCAATAAAAGGAAACAAAAAACTTGCTTTTATATGTTTATAGTAGCCCTTGCTTTTATTTCCTAGTAAGTTAATACAATTAAATGTCTAACAGTGATATTCTGAACCCTTTCGTTAGGGTGACCAGATGTCTCTATTTACCCAGGACAGTCATTTGTTTAAGTAAAATACAGAAAAGTTGCTTTAAAATGACCAAAACACAAAGAAAATGTGACTATATTGACTCACATTAGTGCTCAGTGCATAACAATTTTCCTTAATTCTGCACTTGTTTTACAATTGTATTATTTCCAACCCAAACCAGGGATGTCCCAGTTTTTTATTTTGAAAATCTGATCACTCTAACTTTCGTACCCAATAATACATTAAACATAATTTTCCATAACCTCTCACTCGTTCAATTATCCTTCCGAATCAGGTTTCTGAGGAAGTTGCCTAGTGACACGTGTGACACACCCCTCAGACCTCGATGGCGGAAAAAGTAGACCAAGCGAGGATTCCGAGTCAGAATGAACGGTTTTCATTGTGTCTGGACATTGAGTTTAGTGGTTTAAATGACAATTTCAGATACTTGTATTACTGCAGTATCTTGCCGTGTCTGTATCACTGCCTATGGGTGTGGTAGTCGGTGTTGTGGTGATGCTACACTCTACTCTGAGACTGACACACGAAACATAATATTACTTCAAGCTCGGACGTGACGTCAAATCTGAGGTCCAAGTGGGACTCGGAAGATAATCAAAGGCAGGGTTCAAAGCGTTGGGTTTGCCAATCCAAATCACACTAAATTAGTTCATTTTCTTACCCTCGCACCACCGACTTCTCCTGTGGTGTGTTCTGGCAAACCCGGACACACCCACGCCGGTGGTTTAACATGAGTTGTGCAGGTTTCAGTGGTCATGTGACCCACGAATGATTTGCATGGGCAATTTGTGACTTATTGATTTTGTATTGTCTGTGCACAACTTTTCGCACATGAAATATTAACCATTTAATAGTGTAAATGATGTAATATTTTCAATGAACGCTGTGTAATGTGGGAGGAGCAAATGGGGGTATATTGGTGCACCCGCCACAGAATAATTTGCCCCTTAAGTTTGTATATTCATAACATATGGTATCATCTCCCATCTTACATCATTTAATTGTGTTTTTTCTATTGAATAATTGTGACCATCCTACTTAAAATATATTAAAAATAAGCTTACATGAGACAGTTTTATGTTATGAATTTCATATTATGATTCTAATGTTTCCTCGGTTTGGTCAACTATCTTAAAAGTTGACGACTTGAAGGTTCAACATGTGTGATTTGTGTCCTTTGGCACGACACTAGAGCTACTCTGCCAAGACAAATTTACTATACTAGTGCCAAATGTTCAGATATATTTAATTGTTTAAAAAAAAAAAAAAATCAAAGTTACAAAAATCCCTATACCTGACTACACCAGATTGCAAAAAGTTATATGAATCACCTTTACATATTTCACCAGGAAATGAGCAACTGAAAAGATAATAACAAAAGAATGAAAGAACACAACCGTAAGAATTATTACTTACATTTAATATGCAAAAAGAGTATACAAATATACAAATGTACAATACAGCATTATAAAAAACTCATGCTTTGTGATAGATCTGAATATAAAAAATAAACAAAACACCATTCACCCAATCGCATTCAGCCACACATGAGGTAGTCAAAATCAGCTGTTATCATCTCAGCATTGCTACTATAGAGAACTTTCAATTCATGCAAAACAGCAAAATTGTGGGAACAGCATGATACGAGTTCAAAAGGGGGCGTGGACTTCCCAGAGCGCAACAGGACCGGACTCGACGTTAACCGCAATTGTCCATGGAGGAACTATCTTGGATTACCATAATGATGTAGAATAATTTTCGATAAGAGAGACCAGGAGGTGCGCGAGCAGACCACAGACCACGATGAATGACAATGATTAGAGCATAGTACAGCAGTGGTTCTCAAAATTCGGGCTGGGTACAATCATTGGGTACACTGCGTTCATACAAGTGTAGACAACAGTGTTTTTGTTTAGTAATTTAATTTTAGTTTTGTCCTGATTGCATTTTTTCTTGTTTTGTCCTATTTTTGGCCAAGATCTATTCCATTTGTAGATTATTACTTATTTAGAAATGGTGTAATTATATTTAAAGACCCTGCACCTGATTGCGCTTTATTCTCCAATAATCAGGAAGTGTTAGCATGCTAGTTGTTCGCATTACTGCATGAAAAAGTAACCCCCTTTTCTGAACCACTAGAGAGCAAAACACGGTTCAGTTTTTGCCCGCAAGTCGATCCTGTTTAACACTTTCTGTTGCTCAAAGGTTGCACCATGAAAAAGAAACAACCATCTAGGATAGTCCCAGGCAGTTGCTTCCAAATGGTTCTCATCTAACAGCTCTAAATTACAGAATTTGGGCACCCGGTCCTGTTTTATCCTGTTGTCGTCCAAGATCTATTCCTGTTTATAGATGATTACCCATTTAGAAATGGAGTAATTATATTTAAAGGCCATTCGCTGCACCTGATTGCGCTTTATTGTCTGATAATCAGGAAGTGTGTGTTAGCATGGTAGTTGTTCGCTTTACAGTGTGAAATAGAAACCCTGTTTTTTGAACGATGAGAGAGAAACATGGTTCAGTTTCTGCCATTAGCGCCTTCTCTTGCTCAAAGGTTGCACCATGACCAAGAGACAACCATACGGGATAGACCCAGGCAGTTGCTTCCAAATGGTTCTCATCTAACAGCTCGAAACTGACCAAATTTGGGCATCCTATCCTGTTTTGTCCTGTTTTTGTCCGAGATCTATTCCGTTTTTAAATTATTACTGATTTAGAAATGGCACAGTTATATTTAAAGGCCCTGCACCTGATTGCGTTTTATTTTCTGATAATCAAGAAGTGTGTATTAGCATGCTGTTCGCTTAAAAATAAATGAACCAGTTTTTGAACCTCGAGAGAGAAACATGGTTCAGTTTCCGCCTTCTCTTGCTCGTTGTGCTAGTTGTTTGCTTTACTTCGTGAAAAGTAACCCTGTTTTTTCAACCACGAGATAAAAATTAGCTTAGCTTCTCTCGCTCAAAGGTTGACAGAGAAATAACTGTTTACGATAGTCCCTGGCAGTTGCTTCTAAATAGTTCTCATCTAACAGCTCTAAATGACCAAATTTGGGCATCCAGTCTTGTTGTTACGCATTCAGTATATCCTATAAAATAGAAATCCCTAATAAATATGTGAATCAGTCTAATTTAATGTTCCAAATACCTGTTTTTATAACAAACAGAACCTGAACGTCATCGGTTGATACAATTAAAGCTAGTCCATTCATTATTCAGCTAATCTACTGAAAACTGTTCTGTAAAAGCTATATTTTCTAATGTCATACTACTTGTCATACATGTCGTAATACGAGAAACACTGGGTTCACAAACTGAGCGATTAGTGCACATATACTCGCGCGCTGGTGGAGTGTGCGCCGCTGAAAGAGGAGCTATGCTAACACAGAGCCGTGTGATGGGGTCTGGCACAGAGCCCGACAAAACAAACAAAAGCGCCTCTCTCTCTCTCTCTGACCGACTGTTCCTAATAGAATTCAATAAAACCATTTGGGGAGAGTTATTGAAAACAGTTAAGTTTCCAGAAACACAATAAGCAGACTCTTGGACCGACGCCATCGCTCCCTCTTCGAAAATAAAGCAAACTTAACCCGATGTCTAATCACAGTTTTGGTCTAAACCACGGTCAGCAGTGGAATTAAATTACTAATAATTCTTGGAGAGGAAAAAGTCTATTTTAATTTTCATCTAATGGGAGTTTGGTAATTAGTCATACGTTAAATTACACTATTAAAGGCTCTGTACCTCATTTTTTTCCCAATGTATTTGAGTAAAATGTGGCCCTAGTGCAGATAACATACTGTAGAAGCAGCTTTTAACGTCAAAATATGTGTTTTGTCGGATAATTAGGAATTGTGTGTTAGCATGCTAGTTGTTGTAAGCTTTACCATGATGGCAAACTCCGCTCTGGTCTCTGAAAGTTGAGAAAAGTACTTCAGGAATAACTTTGGATCACTGCAAATCACTTCAAATTAACTAGTTCTGTTTTTCACGTTTTTAAAATGGTAAAAATCAGAAACAGCGCCTTAAATTGAAATATAATTGTTACATTTCTTTTACTTATTGATAACAAAAACACTAACTTGGAGTACAAAATGAAGGTACTTCCTTTTTGTTGCATAGAAATTGAAATTGGCTTAAAATTCACATACGGTAGAAAGCGTTTTATAAGAAACCATTGCAAACATTTTAATTTCAAATCTCCAATCTTCAAAGCGCACACAGTACACACACACGTCCATGCACACACATACTACACATTAATAAATTCCTCTTATATTCCAAAATATATTTTATAAACAAATATAACTCTATGCTCTGTTCCCTCTGTAGAAAGTTCTATACAAGTGTACACACAATATAAAAAAAAAAAAGGTTTAGGATAGTTTACATTCTGTCCCTCTGTGAGTTTGTGGCTGCAAAATATTGGACGTAACATTCACAATTGTAACACGGTGGTGAGCCAGGATATAAAATCAAAGAGGCTATGTTCACACCAACGCATTCACTTAAAGCAACTTTTTCATAAATTAAAACTGTGATTATTTTTAAGGTAGCACTCTCTTGTTAATACTACTTTTGTTTTGTTGTTTATTCATAACTAGGGGTGTTAAAGCTACACTCTGTTACTCTGTTATCTTTGATTCTACTGCCTGATAGTGCCTTAAAAGTGCACGGTGTAACTTTTCTGGTGGAGGGTCTGTCACCTGTTAAGCTTAAGTATCTCCATGGAGACAAACAATAAAACAGGTGAGGCAACCACTCAAATTTAGTGGTCAGATAATCAGATCTAAGGATATGTTCAGACTGCAGCGTGACGTGACCCAAATCCGATTTTTCCACCCCTATGTGAACTGTATCTGATCTGATCCATTTTTTTCTTCTTTTGACATGCGACTTCAGTCTGAACGGCCAGGTCACATTCATCCCACCTACACGTCAGGCTCAGAGTCTAGTCAATGGAGGGAAAGCGAGGTTAGCGAGTTAATTAATATTTGGGTTGATCTCTGTATTCAGGCCAAATTGGAGGAGTCTTATCAGAACCGGGTGGTTTTTGAAATGATTGCCAAAGAAATGGTCGAGCGCGGCTACAGGTCCTGGCTCCAGTGTCAACAAAAATAAAGAGCCTGCGAGCCAAATACAAAGAGACTAAAGACTCAAACAAACGAAGCGGCCGTGGACGTGTAACCTGTCCATTTTACGAACAACGGGACCATATTTTGAGAGACAAGCTCAGCCTTTAGTCTACGTCCGTAAACGCTGAGCACACTCACTGCATGTGATGTCGTCGTGTCCTCCAATGCACATGCGGGACACTTTTGGGGTGTTTAAAGTTCACACTGGAGATCACATACAAGTTAAATTTAATTGAAATTGTGAATGACCTTGCAAAAAAACTGGATTTGACAAAAAAAAATCAGAATTAAGCCCTGCAGTCTGAACGTAACCTAAAGTGGTGAACCTGTTAATAGTACAAATGTTGGTTTTCCTGGTTTGGCAATAAAAACAAATGTAATTGACTTACGGCATTAGGTGTAATAATTGTAATCCAGGCAAACCAATATAATCTACATGGAGACAAGTCGGTGTCAGGCCCTCCTCCACCAGAAAAGTGACATAGTGTATCTTTAAATGCCTTAAGTTAATATGCATTGGTGTGAACTTAACCTTAGCTTCATAAGTCATGATAAAGACAATATAAGTATTACCCTTTTGTTTTATGCACATGTAGAAAACACACTTTATGTCCACATTATTATTTTGGTATTTACAGTATTCACAAATATATACATTATTTAGAGGAATAGTTCAACATTTCGGAGTTAATCTTAAATTAAATTAATCTTATAATTTAGATAAGATGTCTAAATGCAAGATGCCTAGTTACATTCAGTATTGGCACTTAATTTGCAGTAACAAATGCGACAAAATCTTCTAGTTTGGGGTGAATACCTAACCACGAACCACTTCAAGTGCTACATGACATCACACAGTACTTCCCTGATTAAAGCTAGGTGTTTCTGGTAAACATTTAGCTGCTGGGTGGATTTTGAAATGTGGAAACGTCTTAATTTTTGGATTCAGCCCCAAAATGTTGAACTTTTCCTTTTACCAACTATCAAAATTACAGAGACTTGAAGCTACTAGAGCTGCTGCAATCTCCATCTTAATATAACATTACCACAGTAACCCTTACAGCAATGTGGATCTAAAATACTTCCTATAATATATATATTTTTAATTTTACCATCATTTTTGACAGCTAAAATCATGGTATTTCAGCATGTATTTCACATTTAGCGTTCACATTTGGCGTACATTCAGTTGCTACACTCTCCTCTTGCGTGTGTTAACTTGTTAATAGTGGTTGATGTAATGTATTGTAGTCCATGCCAAGACGTCATTGTTTCTTTGGATGCCCTCGGCCTGTTTAGAAGCTTGTATGCCATGTCCATGTAAGGGCAAAACTATAAAAATAGGGCAAGTAAAACAGCATTTGGATTGGAGGAGTGTAGATTCTTGTAGTTTTATGTCAGTCAGGAGTAATGGTCGGTTGTTCGGACTCCCGCGGTGAAAATTACACAAGATTTGATTTTGGTTTTGGTCTGATTTCATATGAGTTAACTTATTTAGTCCTGGGTTTGTAATGTACTGTAGATCAGGTTTAGTCTTGGTTTAGTTCTGGATTTTGTGTCAATGGTGGACACAAAGGTCGGCCCAAGTCAAGGGGATAATTTAACACGAATGAATACTTTTAAAAAAAAAGAATTAAAAATGCCGATGAAATCTGATTGGTCACTCCCTAAAAACTACCATGGTGCCATTGAAAACCTGGTTTCTCTTTAAGTCTTTTTTAGTTTTAGATAATTCAAATTTTACTTCTACTTAAATTCTAATTAAATCCTATTCTCATCCAATATTGTTTATAAATTAGCAATGGTTTAGTCTTAGTTTAGTTTTACAACATTGGTTCAGTCAAAAAGTACTGGTTTAGTCCTGGTTTAGATCTGTCTAATCTGTATAAGTCCTTATTTTGTGAAGTCAGTGATGTCCTTTTGGTCAGATTTGCCGCTGTTTTTGGTCTGGTGTGATCCCTTGGGTGCTGGGAGAAGGTGGTGGGTGCTATGCGTTGCTGCTGCTGGAACACGGGGTGCTCTGGGTGCTGCCGATGCTGGGGGCCGCACTGCTGTTTTCAGAGGCCGGAGGCTGGGGCTTCTGCACGGGCTGTTGACCACTACTGCTCTCCCCTGAACACAAGAAAGAGAGATAATACTTTAAACATTATAATCACAGGTTTACATGGCTTTTTTTTTTTATTCGTTTTACTCATTTATGGAATATTAAAGGTCGTATATTATGCAAAACTGACTCTTGTGAGCTTTAAGACAAGATGTTTTTACGTCTTCAAAAACATACCTGGATTTGTCTGAGTAACTCTTTATTATAAGTCTGTCTACATTCGAGGTCTGCGTGGGACAGAGTTTTTAGTCCCCCTCCCGCATGTGTAATTGTAATTTTCAGTTCCGCTCCCGTCTAGCCTGATTCATCAGCCGCTTTCACTTCGTGGATACCGTCTGACCTTGCAGCATTACAATTCGTTCGCTCGACGGTAAGTGGGAACTTTTGTTAATTTAACCAATCACTGCTATTGATTGTGACGTATGTAATGCACCATTGGCTAAGTGGAATATGAAGCTTTTCCCAAATCCTGTAGGAATAAGGGCAATAACGTCTTTCCTCTTGATAAAATTCACCAAACATTCGCTCTGGCTTTAAATCCTTGATCTCAGGAATCATTGCCAACACAGAATATATGGCTCTTTGCTGATTGGCTGGTGCCCGAACTTGCACTTCTGGAGTTTTTGCAAACCATATAGTGTATTCTGATTCCTGATCTAGTCTCTGGAGAGAAATGAAATTGGGCAGAGGCACTAGATGGCGCCAGCCTGGCTAGCTCCCGTCCGCATGTGCGATATTTTGTCCCGCTCGCGTCTGCAAATCCTGCAAGATGGAGATGTTTGCTTTCTTAAACTCTATCAAACACGGAAAAGCAGAGAGGAATTGTCTAAAATGTGCACGAGATTAGACGACATCCACAAGTTTAGGCTGCTTAAAACGTTTTTATTAATGCCAAATAAAATATCCAGCACAAATGATGTATGATAGGCTTACATTAATCATTTGTGTATTTTACTTTAGACTCATATTTAGTTTGCTCCTGCCCATGCCCGCAATGACCTTTCAAAATGTGTCCTGCACTGTTTTGTGTCAGGTAGCAGGGCTCTAGTCTACATCTCCAAATCCCAAAAATGTTCTGTTCCACCTTGTAGTGTCATCAAGTAGCAGTGATGGTAGTAGTACAAGTAGTTTTGTTAGTGGTAGTAGTTGTGATAACAGTAGTGATGGTGGTAGTACAAGTAGTTTCAGTGGTGGTGATAATTGTATAATTTGTAATAGTAGTAGTAGTATTACAGTGAGTGTATAGTTTTTGGCATGGATACACAGATTGAAAGGCCTTATCTTTAAAACAATATTAGCGCTGGCCCTGCTGTGCCCGTTTTGTTATAATAAGGTGTTTTCGTATGGGTTTTTAAATAATGATTTTCACAAACCAAACAACACAATAGATTGCTTTCAAGCTATTAATATCACACTGACAGCAGCATTTGACAAATATTATGTGATCCCATCGATTTAGATTTAAAATTATACTAAAGCCATATTCGCACGGGAAAAGTACAACCTGGGGACATCTGGTAATTTAGAAATTACGGCTCCACCTCTGTGTTACGGGGATAAGCAAAGTCTGTAAATTACTCTATTTTACTGACATTATTTCTTAGAAACAATGTGACGAAATATTACATACATTTTTACCGAGGATCGCAGTCACACGGGATTAATATTACCTGTGGCAATTCCTCTGGACCATTTTACAGAAGGTGAAACTCGCTGTAAGTTTCACTGTAAATACTCCGTTATGTTTAAGGACATGACGCGTTTGGGCGGGACTATTTCCCCGGTAATTATTAATTCACTCCATGTCACTCCATAAAACAAATCCCGTCCGAATAGGGCTATTGACACAGAGATTGAAAGAGAAAAGAACACGGAAAGAAAAGAAAGAGATAGAAAAGGCGCGCAATTACAACAACAAACACTGAGATGGGACCAGTATTATCACTGGATGTCTGTGTTTCGCGAAATATAGTAGATAATTTGCGGCAGACTTTTTACTTTACAAATTACAGACATGGAGCATTTGCATGTGTAAGAGAATTTAAGTAATTTATCTTCCACGTACATCTCAGTTTAACAGTGACTGAATTTAGATAATTGTATGCCAATGGTATGCCAAGGGAAGATCATGGTGTAAATATAGCTTTTGTGAGTCAATGTTAAACTCAGATGTAAGTGGAAAATAAATGACTTAAATTCTCTAACAACATGGGATTAAGATCTGAAGCATCCTCCGCAATTATTACAAATCACCAAAGGTCCACAGGTTAAACTAATCCTGTGCGAAAAGCTACAGGGATTTGACCTATAACGTGGCTCGGAGGCATTACCTGCTTGTCATGAAGATAGAAAAGTTGAATATCGGACTATGGAACATTCAGGCAAAACATTTGGCGAACCGTTCACTAGAAAAGTTTTGCAATGCATGTTTCATTTCTCATCTTAAAGACGTCCTTCTGTTTAAATTTATTCTTTCACTGTAACAATTGATTCAGTTTCACACAAGGTTTTACAGCGGAGCAACACCCCTGCTCTTTTGGAGGTTCACACATCGTCTCCAGCTGCTAACATCTGTCCGTTTGACCTGATCGCCACGGTAACTCAGCCACGTCCCCTCTCAGCGGAGACATGGGAACCCCTTTGTTTTGATAGAGTTCATTTGCGCCGTTATCTGTTTTCAATCACGGGCCTCTGCACTCCGAGTTGGACTTGAGCTCTGACGTATTTATTGTTCTTGTGTTTTAGTAAGCTTTTCATTTGAGAGACTGTAGGGGCCAAAGGAAAAGTTTGTTTACGAAAAACATCTGCCACACAATAGAAGGAGCAACGCCAACAATCTCTGGGGATGATTACAGTAAGCAACACTATATAGGCTATATAGTGCAGGCTAGGGCTGTGCAAAAATCTAATTATTGATCTATCGTGATACTAAATTTGGGGATTCAGTATTATTTTTGTGAACTCCTGTACTGATATATCGACAATAGTTTTTGATATCTTTTCGCATTTTTTTGTGATCACACTACAGTTTTATTGTTTATTTGATTATTAATGCATAACTTAACTTAATTTTGCATGGTACATGATGGCTTAACAAATATTTCTTAGAAAACATCAATATGTCACAGATTATTATGTACAATATTCTGATTATCACATGTATCACCATATCGTGATAATATCATATCGTGAACCATGTATCGTGTATCAAATCATGAAGGGCCCTGTGATTCCCAGCCCTAGTATAGCGGTCTGGTCCTGGGCTGGTTCAAGTCTTAGACCCGGTCTCAGTTCTGGTCCTGTTCCTGGTCTCAATCCTGGTGTCATTTCTGGTCTGGTCCCGGTCTCGGTCCTGGTCTGGCTCTGGTCTGGTCCCGGACCTGTTTTAGTCCTGGTTCAGTCCTGTTTAATCTTGGTTCAGTCCTGTTTTAGTCCTGGTTTAGTCCTAGTTTAAGTCACGGAAACGAGAAATGTCCGTTATCAGTTTTTTCCATTATTCATCTACACACACATTCGAAAACTGGAAAAACAAATCGTTATCCGCTTTTTCATTTTGATTTTGGAGACAAATAATGAAGAAAATAGTTGTTTTTTCATTTTCTTATTTTTTGTTTTATTTTGAAAAACTAATGAACAAAAGATACACGGAATTAAGTCTGTAATTACTCTATTTATTTTACTGACATTGACACAGAGATTGAAAGAGAAAAGAACATGGAAAGAAAAGAAAGAGATAGAAAAAGCAAGAGATAGAAAGGCAGTTACAGTGAGATGCAGATTCGCACAGATTGCCATATCGTGATAACATCGTATCGTGAGCCGTGTATCGTGTATTGAATCAAATCACGAGGGGACACTGGTGTATGAATGTGTCTGTGAATGGGTGAGTAGAAAAGCGCTGTATAAAAATGCGACCAATATATTGCCGATCATCATTTGCAATATTCTGATTATCATATGTTTCGCTATATCGTGAAAATATCGTATCGTGAGCCATGTATCGTGTATCGAATCATGAAGGGCACTGTGATTCCTAGCTTGTAGCATAGCGACAATTTATATATGTTGACCATGCAACTGGATTTAACAAAGATAAACGGATTTGGAAACATGCTGCTCATAGTTTGGGTTAGTCGAATTATTAGAGTTATTAAAAAATGCAATCGATTACAAAAATGGTGTACTCAGATATCCTATGAATTCTGTTGAAAATAATGTGTGTACTCATTCTGACCAACAACAAATCCTAGAGCAAAAGGACTTTTCTAAAAACCACAGCTTTTAAACATGAATGTCAAAACATTTGAGATCTCGTAAGATCTCAGAAGCTAAACAGGGTTGGGTCTAGTTAGTACTTGGATGGGAGACTGTGGGGAAAACCAGGTGTCACGGGGGGGCAGCAGTGGCTCTAGAGCAAACTGTTGTTGTGTCGTTAAGCAAAACACCGTTTGCTAGTATAAATATGGAGTGTGATGGCTGGAGGAACAGATGGTGCAGATCAGCAGCATCTGGAAAAGTGCTGTGTACAACCAATCCATTATTATTACAAGTTGATTGTGGTTGAAATGTAAGGTGATATGTTAATGAATAAATACACAAATGTTAAAAGTTGTAACACTAAGGACAACATACGAGGATGAAGCTCTATTATTGCTTTTGGGATTGCTGGGATGTTTTGTCTTTCTGGTTCAGAGATAAGGTGAACATCAATTTAAACACGTAGTTATTTTACTTTTCAGGCATTGAGTCCGACAAATAATTTTCTTCCTAGAGATGTTATTGCTTTAGAATGTTTCACAGTACGGTATTAAACCTTTCTACCTTCACGGAGACCAAAACAGACAGGTCAGATATGTGAAAATGTTACATAGTGCACCGTTAAAATGATTATACTGTATAGCACTCCATAATCTTTAAATGATCTTTACTTTATGCATTTCCCACCGTTGTCTCTATTTCTACTAGCGATGCAAAAATACTGATACTGGCATCGAACACTGGCGCTGATACTGAAAAATTTGCATTGAATCAACAAAACCTACTACATTATCCCACTTAGCTCAGCCTTTTGTTCAGTCAGCTTTAAATTTATTTGTTCTCTGATTAGTTAAACATTTTCTGTCAAGCTCACGGTAGATCTCTTGGCAGGTGGTTTCAGTCCACACAAGCCAAACAAATGTACCAAGATAATAATCCAAATGTCCAATAATATACTACGGGGCTGGTTTATACACTATTTATACCCCCACTGGCCTTATAAGGAAATAAACGGACTGCACAAGAGTAAAGGCAGCGTGTCATGTTCAAGAAAGAGCAGTGATATGGGCTGGTCCATCAGTGTCACTCAATTTTGACATTTAAAAATTCATGTTTTTGGAGTTTTTTACGTCAGGGTATATAACACAGTGGTGGAAAGAGTACTGCAAATTTGCCCAAGTAAAAATAACGTTACATGGCTAAAAACATACTTAATTACAAGTACTGCTTTCAAAAAGTACACATGAAAAATACTACACAGAGTATTAGTTACTAGTTACTTTTTTAACAGATATGAACTGCATTTTGAATGAGCAAGAAAGTAATTGTATTTATGGTTTTAAAGGTGCAATACGTTACTTTCCTGGTTGTCTCCTTGGAGATCTTATTGCTTTGGCCACACTATGGCATTAAACCAAGTCTATGTTCACAGCAAAAATGGAGGGTTAAAATTTCAGGGTAAAATATTTCAGAGCTGTTCGAGTTTATAAATTTTTTATTATTATCGAGATTATTTGCGATAGTTGATATGTTTGAAGTTAATTCTACTTCCTCTAGTGTTCATTCAACTTCCCTTAGTGCTAATTTGGCACCTCCCATCCATCACCTTGAACTCCCACAAGAGAAGACCAGTTTGAACCAGTTTTGTACGTAATTTCATCTTAAATTAACTAAAATAATGTGTCAAAATAAAACACCTCTGTGTGTTGTTTAGCTAAATCAGGTTAACCCTACAAAGTGTTATCCATTTACTCTCAAAATGTTAATATAATTCTTGATTTCGGGGTTTAACAGGAACTTTGGTTCAGTGTTACTTAACTAACATTTCCAAAAAAAAATGTATTAATTCTAGAACAGACTGGACTCATATAAACCCTGAGAAAATGTTAAAATTGATTCTGTAAAAGTAAATTTTAACACTCCACTTTTTGCTGTGTTGGTTTGGGGTTTGTTTGCTGAAAGAGTTACCTTGGAAAACATGCGTAAAGTGACCTTCTTACTTGTAACTTGACGAGGTAGTATGTAACTGTGGAGATTGGCACATTTAAAGCCATAAGTCTGAACATTCCAGGCAATGCAATGAATTTTAGACTAAAAGATAAATCAGGGCAACATTAAAGTACAAATATCGTTCCAAATATTTTAAGAGTTTTAGGTATTTTGATTTTATTTTCATTTCTGTAACATTGAGTTCGGAAACACCTTCTTATAACAAAATGGGCCTCTAAAGCAGAGCCAGCATTAATATTATTTTAGAGATAAAGCCTCTTAATCTTACTGTGTATTCATGCCAAACACTACACACTCACTGTAATACTACTACTACTACAAATTATACTATTATTACCACCACTGCAACTACTCTTACTGCCACATCACTATTACTAACACTACTACTAATAGAACTAACGCTGATGAAACTACTAGTACAACTACAACTACTACTACTACTCCAACTACTGTCACTACTATTACTACCACCACTGCAACCACTAGGGACGCAATGATGTTTGATATAATATCAAATCGTTCGATACTGGGCTCATGATTCAGTACAGGTGTTCGGGCGACATGCACATGTCCCTCCATGCGCGCTGTGTTGTTATTTATTTTGGTCCAATTGCAGCGTCCTCCTCAGATGCAGCAAGAAAATGGCTCCATAGGGACTTACAGCTGAAATATTCAACAGATGTGGATTTTATCTTTCAGTCACTTTTTATTGTATGTTGATAGACTCAGGAATGGCAAAGATATTAACTTAAATACTTTAGAATCGCTTAGAATCTGTCTCTGCTGCTGCTGGTCTGATAGTGTAGCTCCCCTAGAAATCTATATTATAATATATAAAATAGTCTGAGAAAGCACTGTTCATTTTTGTTATTTTCACTGAACAAAATGCTGTAAATCATTGAACCAAATGAACTAAAACACTTTACATATAAACTACAGCTGTACAGTAGTTGTACTGTAATGTATTGTATGTAAAATAAGTGTTGTTTCATTAATATCATAGTGTCATTATCTTATACTCATTAGCAGAAAAAAATTACAAGAGATTTTTTTTTTCATGTCTTAAAACATATCAAAATTGAATCAATATTGTGTATCAAGATATGTATCGAATCATGGGAAAACTGTACCATTGCATCCCTAGTAACTACTTCTGTTATCACCATCACTACTACTACTACCACCAATGAAACTACCGTATTTTTTGGACTATAAGTCGCTCCGGAGTATAAGTCGCACGAGCCAAAAAATGCGTAATGAAGAAGAAAAAAACATGTATAAGACACACCGGACTATAAGTCGCACTTTTTGGGGGAAATTCATTTTATAAAATCAGAGACCGGGAACCGACATTTCATCTTGAAAGGCAAGTTATAGTAACAACAATAGAATAAAGAACAACGGACTGTTAACATCACATATGAACAGTTCTTCAGATAATTATAGCATAAACAACATAACCTAATAAGTTTACCAAACTCTCCATCTCACTCCAAATCACTAAATCCATTCAATTCTTCATCCTCGATGTCATTTGTGAGCAACTCCGCAATCTCCGGAGGTAAACCATAGATCCATGAGGTAAATGGAGCACAGCTTCCTCTTCTGCGTAGCCGTCATCAGACTCAGCATCAGTTCCAGTTAAAATTATTCCGGCCTTTCTGAATCCCGACAGGATGGTTTCGGTTGTCACTGAAGTTCAGGCTTTGCTGATCCATCCAATGACTTCAAAGAAAGTTGCATGGCGCACCCCTCAGTTGCCATGAAGCTGTGTTCTCTATCCCCGCTTTCTGGCAGTCCCTCACAAGTTTCTTGCTCATTCCAAACTTTCTTTCTGCTGCTCAATTACCGTTTTGTGTATTACCGTCCATACCACTACTAATACCACTACTAAAACCAATCTGCTACTACCATCAGTAGCACTGCTAATACTACCTGATCACAAATACTGCAATTACAATCATCAAAACAATGCCAATTTCCATGTAAAAACAGCTTTTCTCCTTAATGTTGACAAGTGAGTAAATAGTGCAGGAATTTAAGTTCTTGTGGGTCACTGGGGGTAGAGTTCACTAGCATCTCTTGGTCAGATTGAGCAGCTCTTCCTGTGAACCCCAACAAAGGGATTTTCCATCTCCACATTGTATTGGGAATATGAACCGGCAGACCCCCAGCGGGCCTCCCAATTATTCAAAGACAGGAAGCCCGGCGTATATATTTACTCCGAACTTGCAGCGGTGTTTTTGTGGATTGTGCGCAGGATGTTTAGCACGTTTTTGGCACTGAAATCGGACATGCTTGCGGCCTTATCGGTGTATTAAAGTGCAAGGGCCATGGTGTTAAAGAGAAGGGAGGAAGGAGGGTGATACGGAAGTTGGGACGTACCTGTGTGGGAGTAGATGAACCACAGAGCTCCGGTCAAAAGCGCCCCGATCACAAACGCGGCGAAGGCGATGCCAACCACTGTCGGAGTGTCCAGCACGTACACATCACCTGAGAGAAAACAATTCATTTTATTTTTAAAGGGCCTCCAATTACGCTATTTTCTGATCAATGTTATAATGTTTCCTCATCACAAACAGACCTGGAATTTTGTTTTGTTTCATTCACACACTTAATCCACAAATCCTGCATATTTAGACTGATGGAAAACACTCTGTTCCACCTTGTGATGTCATGTGGTAATACAGAAAGTGCTCCATTGTATTTTTTAACTCCAGACACCTTCACTAAAATCATTTGGATGATCTCAGCCCTGGAATTGTCAATCTCTACTGAACTAAAGATAAAAGATAAATTGAAAGCTACCACTTCATGACATCACAAGGTGGAAAAGAGCATTTTGAGTTTTGGAGATGCAGAGAGACTAATAATAAAGGGTTACTCAAACATGTGTGAATGAAACAAAACACAACTTTGGCTATGTTTTTGATGAGGTAACAAGTTTCTAACATGGCTTAAAGCTCATGAAAGTCAATTTTATTTTTTATTATTATTTTTGTTTAAATAAAATACCAAAACTACTCAAGAAACCATGAAGAAACATTTAATTCATAGTCAAGGTTTAAATAACACCCTTGCCCCTTTATGTGGTCACTAAGCCTTTATCATTCTTAAACTACTCAATTATTTTTGAATGAATTTATGAATTAAATCTTGCTTGGTGTAGTTATTATTTTATCGTAAAATGTAACTGTAACATGGTGTCTAAGGAAGGGCATTTGGTCTAAAATCTAAGCCACCACCTCAGCCTAGAGGGAAGAACTGTTCATTTATCAAAAGTGAACTAAAACGTCCTGTGTGGTGTTGATATATTTCTCATTTCTGAGAGTGACAGACTTGGTAACAATTTAGTCTGAAATGAGCTGGAGTGCTCATTTCATAGACATACTTTCTTTGTCTGTGCGCGGGGGACTTGGCTGTGGTGTCCGATCGGGAAGATCTGCAAAACAAAATGAGAGAAAAAAAAAATCATATTAACTGTGGTACATTATTTTTACTCTCTTAAAACCGTGTAGACAAAATTGGTTTATTTCAAATGCTTTGCTATGGTCAAAAGTTATTCCTCAATTACCTTATGCATTCGGACCATCCTAATTATTCACCACGATGAGTTTATAAGTGCTTTTCATCGCACTTCCTGATTCTCAGACAATAAAAAATGCCTTATGATTAGATGCAGACACCACAAGACCCTTAGAGCTGCTTATACAATATATCTATACTGGGGCCAGACACATTTTACGCAACTACAAAGAAAAAAAATCAAGTACAGACGTTTTAATCAGTGCTGTGGCCTACATTGTGTTCCATGTCCTTGCACTGAGGTCCGCACAATGGCCTCTGTGAGCCTGTAGTGAGTGCGCTGGCAGCCGCGGGCCTCACAGACGTGGCCCCGTGCTGATATTACACTGTGATGATAAGAGGTCCCTGAGGAATGCAGAGACGTGAACATACTCAAAGGCAGCTTATGTGACATGAACCCAGTGCCTCAGACCACAATTTGGATGTAATTTAAGAACCTGTATATACAATTTTGATGTAAAATTTCATAAACTTGACGTATGCCCCAAGATATGAGGTAAGCATGTTCTCATCAAATACAGCTTTTACAGATTCTGACTCTCTGATCTGAATGGTCTCAAAACCCCAGCAGTTCGCAGCTAATCATGAATCAGTGCTAGTGCAGCCTCTGCAGTTCAGTGAGTGAATTCTGGAGGTTCTGAGCTTTCACATGAGGCACGGACTGGGACTATCCATAATACTGCGAATGACAAATACTTGTACGAGTCCTCTAGCTGCAGGTTAAAGCACCGGCAGCCCAAGTTCAGTTGTGATTGTAGCACCTTTTTTAAACCAGTATAGAGGGCAGGTTGCATACAGCTCCTTTAAATATAGAAAGTGTTTCACAAAACATCGACAAATACAAAAATGTACTATTAATAAGATTATTACAATGCTGGCAACATCCTGGCTCACTATCTTACTAGTATGGGGGTCTCATACCTTAAAAGTAAAAAAATGTTTATTGTCAGTTCTTCATATGAAAAACACATAAAGAATCGAAATTGTGTTTCTCCCTCCCATGTGTATAAATAAATAATAATAAATGAAAACAAGTGCATATGACTGAAAGGTTTTCATTTTTCCTTCTGCACTCTTCTCTCTTTTTTTAATTATATGATGATTATTTATGTTTTGATTAGTTTTTGTGATTTTAATGTATTTCTTATTCTGTAAAGCACTTTGAATTACTTTGTGTTTATGAATTGTACTATACAAATAAACTTGCCTTGCCTTCTTTGGGGAGTTCTGTTCTTGGGGAGATGCAGATTTCTATCTTAATACCTGCTTGTTCCCATAGAGATGCTCATTGCTGTGCCTGCAATGTTCCATAATATGGCATAAACTTAACCAATTTTGCATTTATTCAGTTAGATGTGTTTTTGTTCTTGTGCTTCCCAAAGATTTGACCCATAAATTGGCCTAGTAATGCCATCTACTTGTCTCCTGCGTACGTTTATCCATCCGTCCACAAAGATCTCGGATATGACATCAAGTCCACGCTTCAACCATTTAATTATGTTTCATGTGTTGTGACTCGGAGAAAAACTTGGACATTAACCGGAAAGCTGTTGTTGCTTTAGCATCGACCGAGTACCAGGAGTTCCAAAATAAGTCTGTGCTTCAACTAAACAACCTCGAGGAAGGATTCCATATAAATATTATAATTCAGTATATTAGTGAAGTGAAAGCGTTGGTGCCACGTGATAGTCGATCATTTTCGCACGTTAGCGAGCAGGAAATGGGCTAAAATCATGGGTGACACCAACTACCAAACCCAAAGGCAGTGGTACGGACGCAGTAAAGTATTACAGTAATATGAGTGACTGAAATTGTCATTTAAACCACCGAAGCGTCCAAATACAATGAAAACAGTTTGAACTACAAGTGCCATTCGGCGCAGCCGTCTTGGATTCTATCTCGGGAACCTTTTGCTTGGGAGTTCTTCTGAGTTCCGAGTTGCGCCGTGTGAGGAAAAGGGGCGTGTCAGTACGTATCACTAGGCATCGTCCTCAGACCTCTGAGTCGGATGGATAAACGAACGCACCATTATGCCATTCAGTGGAAAATTTCAGGCTGAGCATTGACATCTCTACAGAAACATGTACGTCACAAATCCTTCAACAGAAAGTAGAAAAACATAATATAGAAAATCCGCATTTTTGGCATATGGTTTGCAAAGATGTGGTGTACACGAGACCATCATTCCTTGCTGACTTAATGGTTACATAATTATTGTAATCTTCCAAGCGTATCACAAGTTATTCATGCATCTCTATACAAAAGCGTTCTCCAGCAGAGCGAGGGAGAGATATGAGCAATAAGTGGACTGTTTCATTATGTTTAGTAGCTTGTCGTATCCAGTGCTATTGTCCCTTGTACGTGTTTAGCCATGCCTGTCTCGCGGGGCAGATAAGGCGGGCAGGACGTCCTCTGGCCTCGCTCCGGCTCAAATGAAGGTCCCCTCTGATGGCCTGTCATCGCCCATTATGTGTGCGCCCAGGGACCTAAAGGTGCTGCTCCCAGAATAGTCCTCATTGTAGCAGAGTCTTGGACAGGGACCAGGGACCAGAGCCCTCAGTCCGGCCTGGGACAGTACAGGCTTTGTGTGGTTTGCTAAGGCTTCATTATGAGCTAATTTGACTTTTGAACGGCATCCAGGGGGATAATAAAAGGCTAAACATTAGTGGTACGAGGCACTGGGTTCATCCTGACACAACACAATATATGAGAAGGGTTACTGTGCTGTCTGAGCTGTCCTAGCAATGTCACGATGTACAGATCTGACCAGTATTCCTCAGGATTCCTCAGGATTAAAGCTGCCATATTGCTCTATTTTCTGATCTATGTTATAATGTTGTTTCCTCATCCAAAACATACCTGGAGTTTTGTTTCATTCAGACGTTTAACATATAAACCCTGCATATTTAGGCTGAGTTCTTCTCTTAAACAGAAAACTCTCTGTTCTAACCTTATGATTTCATGTGTTTTTAAACTACACTATCACTAGAATCATTTGAATTATTTCAGTCCTGGAACCGGCAATCTCTACAGAACTAAAGATAAACTTGGAAACTACAACTTCATGAAATCACAAGGTGGAACAGATCATTTTGAGCTTTGGAGATATAAACAGACAAATAAAGGGTTCCTCAAACATGTGTGAATGAAACAAAACACAACTCCGGGTACATTCTAACATCGCTGAAATCACTACTACTTTCACTACTACTATCACTATTACCTCTGCAACTATTGTAGCACCACCATCACTATTACTAATACTACTATTACTACTAACACTGCTGAAACTACTTGTACCATCACCACCACCACTCCTACTCCTGCTGTAACATCTCCAACTACTTGTACTGCCACCATCACTATTACTAATACTATGGCTATTACTACTATTACTACTACCACTACTAAAACTACCTGTACCAGGTATATTCTATTATATTCTACTACCAACACTGCAACTACTCATACTGGCACCAGGACTATTGCTTTCACTATTACTATTACTATCACTACTGTTGCTGAAACTACTTGTACCACCCCCACCACTCCTACCACTACTACTACTACTATCACTACTACTACTACTACTACTACTACCACTACTACTACTACTACTACTACTACTACTGCTACTACTGCTACTACTACTATCACTACCACTACTACTACTACTACTACTACTACTACCACTACCACTACTACTACTACTACTACTACTACTACTACTACTACTGCTACTACTGCTACTACTACTATCACTACTACTACTACTACTACTACTACTACTACCACTACTACTACTACTACTACTACTATACTATCACTACTACTACTACTACTACTACTACTACTACTACTACTACTACTACTACTATCACTACTGCTACTACTGCTACAACTACTATCACCACTACTACTACTACTACTACTATCACTACTACTACTACTGCTACTACTACTACTACTATCACTACTACTACTACTATTACTACTACTACTACTACTACTACTACTACTACTACTACTACTACTACTACTACTATACTACTACTACTACCTACTACTACTACTACTACTCACTACTGCTACTACTGCTACTAACTACTATACTACTACTACTACTACTGCTACTACTACTACTACTACTACTACTACTACTACTACTATCACTACTACTACTACTGCTACTACTGCTACTACTACTACTACTACTACTACTACTGCTACTACTACTACTACTACTACTACTACTACTACTACTACTACTACTACTACTACTACTACTACTACTACTACTACTACTACTACTACTACTACTACTACTACTACTACTACTGCTACTACTACTACTACTACTACTGCTACTACTACTACTACTACTACTACTACTACTACTACTACTACTGCTACTACTACTACTACTACTACTACTACTACTACTACTACTACTACTACTACTACTGCTACTGCTACTACTGCTACTACTACTATCACTACTACTACTGCTGCTACTACTACTACTATTATACTGCCACCAACACTATTACTAATACTTCTACTATTACTACTAAAACTGCTGAAACTACCACCATAGCTAGGGCTGTCACTGCTACTCCAACTACCACTGCAACTACTCGCACTGCCACCATCACTACCACTAATACTACCACTACTACTACTACTACTACTACTACTACATATGCGAATGAAACAAAACACAACTCATTCCAACCTTGCTAAAAGGTCACAAGAGTAAATTTTATCTAATATAAGAGGATGAGGAAACACTATTATAATCAGATTCAGATCAGAAAATAGCCTAATATGGGCAATTTTATAAACTTAAGTAAACTT